TTAATCCAGAACCAGCTGAAGAGAGACCCTGCTAGGCTCGCAGCATCCTGTCTCTGTGTCCCTGGTGAATCCCAGCTAATGCAGAAGAGAAAATGGGCTCAGAGCAGTGAGGCCACGCACCTGAGGACACCTAGCTGAGAACTGAGGTGCCGTGCCGGGCCACCTCCGAATGCCTGGCATTGTGTCTACCCCACCTCTTCTCTCCAAAGGCCTCTCCTTGTTGGCCAGGACTGAGCTTCCAAGGTCCCAGTCTCCTATGGGTGCTGTAACAATATACCACAGACTGGGTGGGAATTCATTCGTTCACATTTCTGAGGCCAGAAGTTCAAAGGGCTGGAAGCTCTGAGGGCAAGTCAATTCCATTCCTTCCAGCTCCTGGGGCTGCTGACAACCCTTGGCTTGTAGCCCCATCACTCACGCCAATCCCTGCCTCCATTGACCCTTCTCTCTGTGTCGCTGTCCAAATCTCGTGCTTTCTTTGCTCTTGGATTTGGACCCAAGCCCTGGCAGCATCATGGGTTCTGAGTTGGGCTGCTGATCTCAAGGCCACCAGTTTGAAACCACCAGCCACTCAACGGGAGAATGATGAGGCTGTCTGCTCCTGATGAGATCGACAGTCTCACATCTCATAGAACGGTCACAAGGAAGGGATGCGCCAACCAGGGTGCAGTGTAGCACCGATGAAACACACAACGTTCCTCTGGTGCTTTGGGGCTTCCTCACCTCCCACTACCATGACCCCAGTCCTGCCTTTCAGTTCTGACTCGGTGGGAGCATGTGCACTGGTACAGATGAGCCCTCACAACACATGGAATCCAGGTCAGATAAGCCCTGCAGGACCAGAAATGGGAGTAACCATACCAGGAGGGTAGGGGAAGGGGAGGAGCGACAAGCGGGGGCAGTGGGGATTCCAGCCTGGATCTGGTGGGCAGAGCAAGTCTCTCTCTCTCTCTCTCCCTCCCTCTCCCTCCCTCTCTCCCACCTCTCCAGGGAGCTGGGGTCTGCAGGCAAGGGGGTCCATTAAACAGCCTGGACTCCTCCTATCTCGTGGAGTCC